ATTTTACATTTTCCTTGTCATATGTTTTAATGATATTTCGACATATAATAAAGGTTTTGTTGTTGTATTTTTTAGAATTATCATTTAAATTTGCGTTCTATTTAGAGTCGCATTAAAAATGGTGTAGGTGTAATTATAGATAAGAGTTTGTAAGATAATATTGTAAAAATTAATAGAATTGAAGATAAAATTATAGCTCGTAAGATTATTGTTGATGCTAGTATTTTTCATATTATAATTGCTCATGCTCCTCAAGTAGGTTTAGATATAGACTCTTAAGATAAATTCTGGAAGGACCCAGAAGACTTAATACAAATGATACCTCTTGGAGAAAAAAAATTTATTGGAGGAGATTTAAATGGATATGTCAGTATAGTGGCAGAAGATTTCAGAAATATTCATCGTGGTTACGATTTTGGAGTGATTAATGAAGAAGGTAGAGACATATTAGATTTTGCTTTAGCATATGATTTTGTTTTTGCTGTTACTCTATTCAAGAAAATAGATGACGTATTATTACTTATAAGAATGAATCTAATAAAATACAAATTGATTATTTTCTTATGAGAAAAGACTTTGTCTAGAATGTAAAAGATTGCAAGGTTGTTCCAAGTGAGAATTTAAGTACTCAATATCGATTATTAGTTCTAAATTTTAAGAAGAGTTGCAAAATAAAAAATACTATGAATCATTGTCGTAGAATTAGATGAGGGCACCTAAAAGATAGATAAAATTATTTTTATGATTAAACTTCAAGATTTCAAGATTCGAGATGTTCATAAAGAAACAAATTTTATATGGGATAAACTAACAAATACTATTAAACAAGTGACAGAAGATGTACTTGAAGAATTAAAATAAAAAGTTCTATAAATAAAAATAAGTTATGTTATAAAAATTGATTTAAATTTATAAGCATAAAGAACTGAGAAAAATATAAAATGACTCATAGAGAGTCTAAGAGAACAATCAGTGACGCTAAAAATTCAGCTTTTAGTGATTTTTATAATATATTAGATACTAATGAAAGTGAAAAATATATGTATAAACTAGCCAAATAAAGAAAAAAAGAAAAGTAAATATATAACTCAAGTAAAATATATTTTAGAAAAAGATATTTAACATAGGTGGGTGAGTTATTTTGATAAACTTTTTAATTTAGTTTTTGAAATACAATCTACTTTAGTGATCTTAATATCATTAATAATAATAAAATGTCACATTTTACCATTGCATTAATAAAAAAGTTGGGGAGGCTTTAAAGAAAACCAATGGTGGAAAGTTTGTAGGACTTGATGATATCCCAATTGAAGTGTCGAAATATTTAGGAGATTTGAGAGTTTCTTGGCTTACTAAACTCTTCAATATTATTTTAAAAACTAAAAAGATGTCCGAGGAGTGACAAAAGAGTATTTTAGTCCCTATTTTTAAGAATAAAGGAGGTGCATAAGAGTGTGCAAATTATAGAGGAATTAAGTTGACGTGGCATATTTTAAAATTATGGGAACATAGGTTAAGAAGTATTACGAAGATTTCTCATAATCAATTTGGAGTTATACCGGGCAAGTCTACTAGGGAAGCTATACATTTATTGTGAGGTTTGATGGAGAAGTTTAGAGAGATTAAGGAGGATCTTCATATTATTTTTATTGATTTAGAAAAAGCTTACGACAATGTTCCAAGAGATCATTTTGAGAGTTCTAGAGAAGAAAGGTGTTGATATGGCTTATATTCAAGTCATTAAGGATATGTATACTAGAGCTGTTACTTGTGTTCGAATAGAACAAGGATTGACAAATATCTTCCTATTTCAGTTGAATTAAATCAGGGATCGACTTTAAGCCCATATCTTTTTGCTTTTGTTATGGATGCTCTTATTGGACATTTACAGGAGGATGTACTTTGGTGATGTTTTTCGCTGATGATATCCTTCTCGTGGATAAGACCAAAGAGAAAGATCATAAAAAAGTTGAATTATGGAGGTCTATATTGGAGTCTAAAGGCTTTCGTTTGAGTAGAACTAAAATTGAATACATGGAATGTAATTTTAATAGCATTAGCTCTAGTGACAGAGTTGTAACTATGGGTGATCAAATTATTAAAAGGTGTGAATGTTTTAGATATCTCGGGCCTATTGTTCGAAGTGATGGTGTATAGATGCGGATGTTTTTATTAGAATTCAAGTTGGTTGGGCTTATTGTGTGATAGAAAAGTAACTCTTAGACTGAAAGGAAAATTTTATAAGATGATGGTGAGACCTGCAATGCTCTATGGCACTCGGGCCTAGACTGAAAGGAAAAGATTATAAGATGGTGATGAGACCTGCAATGCTCTGTGGCGTTGAATGTTGGCCTTTAAAAGAGAGGCATAAGACTAAGTTAAGTGTTGCCGAAATGAGAATGCTTAGTTGGATTTGTGGCTTTACTCTTAGAGACAAAATGTGAAATGAATATATCCGTGATGGGGTTGGTGTAGCTCCCGTGACAGACAAAATTAGATAAAGTCGTCTTAGATGGTTTGGTCACATTAAGATCACATTAAAAGTCGACCATCTAATGATCCGATTAGGAGAGTAGATGTTTTAGATTCGACTTGTGTTAAGAAAGGCAGAGGTAGTCCTAGAACGACTTGTGCATATTCTATAAAAAATTGATCTTAATTTATTAGGATTTAATGAAAATATGACACTCAATTGGACGCAATGGAGAAAAAAGATTCATGTAGCCGACCCTACCTAGTAGGATAAATGTTTGTTGTTGTTGCTGTATCATTCAAACTATTATCTATAATTACACATTCACCATTTCTAGTGCGACTTTTACTTGAATACCAAAGCTTAAAACCCAAGCTATCAATCTCCTTAGCCTTCTCTCCATCTCGTTTAATTTCTTGAATGCATAAGATATTTGTCTTTTTATGAATCATAATATCAACTAATTCCATTAATTTACTTGTGAGAGTACCTATATTCAAAGATCCTATCATAATATTAGTTTTATGGACTAACTTCTTTACCGACATTTTTCCGTAATGTGGGAACCCTTACTTATTTCACACTTTTTACTATATTCAGGCTATACAACGTATCGCTTTCAAGGGACACCCTAGCATTTACATAATGATTAAAATGATTCTTGTCATGTTTTTTCGACAAATTTTATGTTGGCTGTAGACTATCTAACACAACCCTCCACTTCTTAAACCCATGGCTTGGGACCTAGCAATGACAGTGTTAAAAAAAAAAAAAATTCAAATCTTAAAAAAAAGTGGGGTTGTTAAAAAGTAAATCTGAGATTGTTTTTTTTATTTTGGAACTTATTATTGAGGATCTCTTTCCAATCACTTTGAGACTGGCTTCCTACGATCCTTAGCAATTGCAAATTTTATTACGGTATACAGCTAGAGTTGACCTTTAGCAATTCCATAACCATTGTAACTTAGTTTTTTGCATTTGTTACATGATTTATGTGCTCCAACGTTCTTGTGAATTGGTTATCGCATTTATTACATTGGTTATGAGATCGAGATAAGGGTTTGCGAATATTATAGCTACAGGATTTTTGTGGTTGCTTTCTATTTTAATTACCAGAGCCTTTATATTTTTGCCTTTGTCTCTATTTTTCTGTGTTTTTCTATTGCAAATTCAGGGAGAGTTTATGATTAATAATATGCGAGTCTCTGACGTTTAAAAAACATCTTGTTTTGATTTTAATTTAATTTAGTAAATTTTTTATTCAATTTAATTCCTTCAAGCATTTTTCTAGTCCAAGTGGGCTTTGAAATTTTTTGAGGGAAGTTATTTCCTTGTATATTCTTAAGGCTTGGTGATTTCTTGCTTTTTTTTTTTGCTATTTTCTTATTTCTAATTATAGGTCTATACGTGTGATAGATTTTTATGAATTTTGGCTCAATCTTATATCAAAAACGATGTAATTTTCAATGAAACATAAGGCTTCTTGATCTCGATGTCACTTTCACATTTATGCCTTTGGTGGAAGGGACAATTTGTTTAACCTTTGATTTTGCAAAATAATAAAAAAAATGATAGGAATTCTATTGTTCTAATGAAATGGGTGGGAAAAAAGCTAGTCGTTGGGCCAATCGTGTTTACGCCAAGAAAGGCACAATGGTATAGGGGTTATGGCTGCATGTTAAAATTTGTTACCTTCTACTCACACCAAGAAATGTGGTTATAGGTGCTGACGATAACATCTTGACCGGAAGAACCTTTCCGTGATGTTAAGAAACACGTGCACAAGTGCTCTTGAGAAAGGATTCCTGCAAATAATAACAAAATAAATACAATAGCATTCTCATTATGCAAGGAAAAGCCTGCATGAGTAGCAATTTTGGCCTTCCATGGGGGAGCATAAAACATAACCGCATCTAGCAATGTTTAATAATGTTAAGTCAGCGACAAGTGAATAATACATCACTCAAACTTATTAGGTAAAAATAGCACTCAAAGTTGAATGCTGTGTATTTTAGTTAAAGTGCCAAAGTAGTCCCCTAACAATTTACATTGTGTTATTTTAGTCTTAGAGTTTATAAAAGTGCTAAATTAGTCCCAATTCTATTTTAGTTATGGAGTTTGGGACCGTGCTAAATTAGTCCCCATATTGTGCTAAATTGATACTTTTATGAACTCTGAGACTAAAATGACCCTCCTACAAAGAGTTGGGTTACTATTTTGACACTTTTCTCATTCTTTTTTTTTAATGAGCATGACCCCACTTACTCCATAGAATTTATGCTCCCCGCATTATCTACTTTAAGTAGTATATCTATTTTAAACTATTTCATGAAGCTGTTGCATGAACTTTTTAGGAATTACTTATTAATAACTTCCATGCTGTTAGTTAGTAGGCCTTCTTTTGTGATTGATCTGCTTCCTAAATCTCTCAACTTTATTAGCATCATAAATTTTGCAATAGCTCAGATCCTATTCAAGAATTATTTTGTTTTATGCTAATTTATATTCTTTTTCTTTTTGGTCTTAGTGGTAGCAAATTGCTATGTATTCAAAAGCCGGCTGCAAGAGTATGCACAGAAAGTTGGTATTCCAACTCCTGTATATGATACTTTGATGGAAGGTCCTTCACATGTACCTGTTTTCAGGTCGTCAGTGATTGTTAACAATGTCAAATATGATTCATTGCCTGGATTTTTCAACCGGAAAGCAGCAGAGCAGTCAGCTGCTGAGGTTGCTTTGGTGGAACTAACTAAATCAGGCCAGATTACAGAGAACATTCCTACAGTTGTAAGTTTGCATGTTTTTAGCTACTAGTAAGCATGACTTGTTTCATGAAAATAATGTTTTTTCATGGGTTTTCATGCTTTGTCGTTCTTTTTTCGGTGATTTCATTTAGATTGTATTTGAATTCAATTTTGTTACATATATTGATGTGCAGCTTGTTTGTACTTTTGTGCAAGGATTTATTCGTTGACCTCAAGCTTATTTTCAGTTAAAAATTTTGTTTTATGTTTGTTTAAAAGCTTACTTCTGCTTCAAATGACGAGCATGTGATGATTGTTTCAGTTATCCATAAATATTTTGACAATACAAGATATATTGATCCATGCAATAAAAAGTTGAAATGTTTACAGCTGCTATGTTAAGTGGAACTTTTGCATCCCTGTTCTTTGTCAAAGTTTTGAGAAAAATAGACTGAATACTGAATAAGCTCGATTGCCTTTTCCCTTTGCTTTCATTTCATTAATCATTAAATAACATTCATTAAATAACAATCTTACAATCTATTTTAGGTACAAAATAAAGTGCATAATCAATTTTACATAACTTAACAATACATATTCCTAATCTAAATATTCAGCTAAAAGGAAAATAAATCATAATAAAAATATTGAAAATATGGAAGTTTCTAATTATATAAAACTTCTAATTTAGCTGCCTGATTTCCTTCCTTCCTGATTGACATTCCCCCTCAAATTGATGCTGACTGATCAGAAAACATCAATTTGCTAACAAGAAACTGATAACACTACTAGGACAAAAAATCCTCAAGCCGTGAGTGTCGAAGCCTGAAAATGCTGAAGCCAAAGTGTGCCGAAGCCTGAAAATACTGAAGCCAAAGTGTGCCGAAGGCTGAAAATGCCAAAGCTCAAGAGTGCCGAAGCCCGAGAGTGTCGAAACCTAAAAAATGTCGAAGCCCAAAAATGTCGAAACCCAAAAGTGTCGAAGCCTAAAAGTGTCGAAGCCCAAGAGGGTCGAAGCCCAAGAGTGTCGAAGCCCAAGTTTTGCCGAAGCCTAAGAGTTCTAAGTTTGTCGAAGCCGAAGCCATCGATCTAGGAATGAGTGCCGAAGCCGAAGCCAAAGCGGACGAAGCGAAGCGTACGAAGCAGTCGAAGATGTCACAGAAGCAGCAATGCTTAGTGAAGAAGATTTGAATCAGACGAATAATAATACAAACATAAAAACCCTTTTTCAACCCAAGAATTCTTGTATTTCACAAGATGATACCCTAGAGTCCCTGCAGGCGGTGTGGAGCGGACAAAGGAATGTTCGTCGACTTCACATCGCAGTGGGTAATCGACGGATGTGAACAGTGAAGTGCGAGGATGGCTTTCGCCGTCTGGAGAGCGAGGCATAATAAGCTGAATTCCGAATAGGCTCGATTCCTCTAGCGAAGAAAGTCTGAATGTCGTGGTCGTTGACGAAGGAAACAATGAAGAGAAGGAATCCTATGGCGAACAATAACAATCCGACGAAGGAGTTCGAGATCTGGATCAGGAATTGATCAAGGTGCGTCGAGCCCTGCAGTTTTCTTGTTGTCTCCGGCCCGTGACCAAACATGGAGATTTCGTTCAGGTAGAACATCATCAGTGTTGCGCATGTCGTCGCTACCGCCTAATGAAGCAAGCAGATGGCGAAGAACGTCGATGATGGAGGCGATTGCGCCGAGGATGGTGACGCCATGGACGATTAAGCTGAAATTCTTCGGTAGGGTGAGCGGAGCCGTAACTCTAACCCTGTCGGCTAGCCCAGACACGAGGGGGAGAGGACATAGAAGGAGGAAAACGTAACCCTGGAGAAAGCGAATTGAAGGCGGAGAAGTAGTTTCCCCTTCCCGTAAGAAGGACGGCGAGAAGGGAGTTTTGAGGCTCCTTCAACGATTATCGGTAGTTAGGACAAAACTTGACTCTGATGCCATGTCAAAGTTTTAAGAAAAATATGTTGAATGTTGAATAAGCTCGATTGCCTTTTCCCTTTGCTTTCATTCCATTAAATAACAATCTTACAATATATTTTATGTACAAAATAAAATACATAATCAATTTTAGGTAACTTAATAATACATATTTCTAATCTAAATATTCAACTAAAAGGAAAATAAATCAGAATAAAAATATTGAAAATAAGGAAACTTCTAATTATAAAAAACCCTTAATTTAGCTGCCTTATTTCCATCCTTCCTGATTGACATCCTTAACCCTGTCTTTATTTCCATCCTTCCTGATTGCATCCTTAACCCTGTCTTTCTTTTTTTTTTCGTCATGTGTACTTTCCTTTATAGATTTTTTGATATAAGATTATATGAAATGTTTTTTTTTAAAATGATATTTTTCTGATGTTTAATGGTTCATTGGCAGGGTGAGCTTTACAAAGTTAATAATGTTATGATACTTGTGCGGCGTGTGCGAACATAGCTTTTGATAAGGTGCCAGGAAATAGGTTGAGGATTAGGGCACGTTGAAATGGTGTTCAAAGAAGCAATCTTGAAGGCTAGAGGATATCGTGGTATGAAAGGGCTAGGAGAGGTAAAATATGATACAAATTATAGTAGGTTGGATGTTGAAAACTATTGACTACATCACATGCATCTCTTAATTGCAATCAATGGTAAAGAAGGATTAAAGTTGTTGTAAATTAGTAGTGAGATTCAACACACTATATTAGGAAGAAAGTTTTTTCATTAATGTGCAACTTATTGCATTTGTTCTTTTATTTTCCCACCTTTCTCCACTTATTTTTTATCAACTATTTTTGTTCGATCTTTAGCCCATATCCTAAATGAACAAATTCAAACTCGACAAAGATCTTTTTGGTTCTCGAAGAATGAGGGGCAAAGGGATTGATCGAGAAAGATCTCTTGTTCTTATTAGAATGAGAAGATCGTGATTCCAGTTCTAAAAGCACTTTAGATGGCTCAAACTAAAGATTTAAAGTCTCAAAGTGGAGAGTTGGTGCTTTACGCTTAGGCACCTTGTTGATGATCTGGACGTACTTTTTCATTTCATTCGGTTGCCCTGTTTCAGTCCTTCTAGAAAAGATTCGTTACTCTATTTTGACTTGCTTCTCAACAAGCTACTAATTTGAATGGACGCTTCCCAACCACCGGTATCTAGATTAAGTAACGAAGGCTACCTAAAAAAAAGGGGAACCTATCCGTTCTGTGCCACAACCAGAAAAGAAAAAGTCTAGAAAAAAATCTACTCTTTTCTCTTTTTAAATTCTTATTATTCGAATGACTTCGAAGCACTAGAATCTCAAATTGAATGACTCTGAATTACTAGAATATTCATTACTCTAACTAGAAAAAAAAAGAGGCAGACTCATGAAGAGAAGAATCTTCAGAATCTCGTACTAAGCTTCTTGGTTGATAGTATGATATCGCTGCGTGACTTTTCAGCTGACTTCTTCTTTGATGCCAGTCTGTACTTGCTGTCATGTTGGCAAAAGCGGGGGTTTCGGCTTATTTAATTAACCGCTTGGAAAAGTTTTGTCTGTCTTCATTCATGTTGTAATGGGGTCGTTCTCTGCTGCATTGGTGTTTTCACTCCCCCTTAAGAATAACAATTTCTTGTTCTACCATTAGTGTTTGTTCTACCAATGACAAGATAGCCAAATCATTGAGGGTAGAACTTCAAATGATTGAGGAGCTAAAAAGATGTGATATTTGTTGTTTATTGTCACAACCCGATCCGGGGCTTGACATTAACCAAAACTGGTACAGACGATCAAACTCTGTGAATAAAAATTTCATTATTCTTTTTCTATAACTTGCTATTAACAGATGAAAAAATACCAATCAATAAAAATTAAAGCAAGATATTTAATGTTACCTCATTACTATTTGTCCGCGTGTTCTATAAATGTTATCTCTTATAACGCTCACGTTAATCACTTATTGAGCCTAGAAAGTTAGTTTAAAAGAATAATGAACTAAACTTGCTAGTGAATTTTCATACTCTTAAACTACAACAATGCAAAAGAAAAGAAAAAAAAAATGTATATGCCAATTAAACTTCTTAATAAATCAATGAACATTTAACATGTTATTCAATGAATTATACTAAATCAATAACATACTAATATTATTTTATATCTGTACAACCGTGTCGGTCAATTTTTTTGTATATGCCAGTTAAACTTCTTAATAAATCAATGAATATTTAACATGTTATTCAATGAATTATACTATATCAATAACATACTAATATCATTTTATATCTGTACAACCGTGTCGGTCAATTTTTTGAAAATTTGAAAATTGATTTTCAAAAATATAATTTAAATATAAGGTATATAGTTTGGGTTATAAAAGTAATGTGTTTTAATTTTTAGAAAATGAGACCGAATGGATCTCATTAGTCTAATAGTTTGCATAATCATGTCAGGTATCTTGAATACTACACATTCCGATAGATAAGTGTAGACCCGACGATAGACCGAATTCTGCAAACTAAGAGATTTGTGACATCCATTTGATCTGCGAATCTTTTATGTGACCGACAAGTTCCCTTATTTAATACAAAGATTAAATAAAGTTTATTTTACTTGGGTTCCAAATTCTCTATAAAGGCAAAACCCTAAGTTAATTATATCACAAATGACTGAAGTCACTTGAGAAAACTCTCGATAATGATCAAAGTTATTGGTCTTCAAGAATTTGAGGTTTAGGTTTTCACGGTAGGACGTGGAAAGACAAATGAGAGTGACTCAAATAGGAATAATTATTTTCAGGAGTCCAAATAAAGTAAAAGGTAGGGAATGCCATAGATCCTGAGGAGGGACCTCAGTAACTTCCCAAACTATCCTAATGTGTGGTTGAGTTTTGGAGACGATGTTATTTAGGTGTTTAATCTTGTCAATTTTATTATTTAAGTCTTCTTATGCAAATAGTCCGCAGAGATAAGAGATTTTACGTCGTTCTACACGACAACCTCAAAACCTAAGGCGAGTTAGGACTTATACTGCTCAGCATGACTGTGCAGGAGCTTAAAAAAGGGTGAGGATTT